TGTTCTTCTCTGGAAAAGTAAGAAAATGAAAGAAGGGAGTTACCTAGTTCAAGTCTAGTTGCTGCCCAATCTCCTGATTTCTTGGATTAAACTTTATTTTGAAACAATTATACATGTACCCAATTAGAAGAAACAATACAGAGATATCTCATGTAAGCTTTACTCCGTTTCCCCCTCAGGGGTAACATCTTGAAAATCCATCCAGTGTCACAGCCAGGATATGACAGCAACACACGTTCAAGACACAACGTTTTCATCACCACAAGGATGCCTGTGTCGCCCTTTTATGACTGCGCCCTTCTCCCTCCAGCCCTCACTCCCTCCTGAACTCCTGGCAACCGCTAATCTGTGTTCCGTTTCTATAGTTTTCTCATTTCAAGAATGTTAGCTAAATGGAATCACACAGTTCAGAACCTATGGGATTGGCTCTTTTCATTCAGCATCATTCTCTGGGCATTCACTCAGGTTTTTGTAAAGGGCAGTAGTTGGCGTCTCCTTATTGCTGAGTCATACTCCATGCTATGGATATACCACAGTTTGTTTAACTTTTAACCGGTCAAAGGGTATCTGGGTTGTGTCCAGTTTTTGGCCACTGTGAAGAAATTTGCTATAAACAGACATTTTTAGCTTCTTTGGGAAAATCCCTAGGAGTACAATTGGTGGGTTGTATGTTTAGTTGGGTTTTTTTTTAAGTCAAATGTTTCCAGAGTAGCTGAACCATTGTACCTTCTCACAAGCAATATGTGAACGATCTAGTTTCTCCTCATCCTCATCAGCCTGTCATGTCGTCACTCTTTATTTTAGCCATTCTGCTAAGTGTAGAGTGATATCTCATTATGGTTTTTAACTTCCTCTTCCCTAATGGCCCAGGATGTTGAATGTCCATTCATGTGCTTATTTGCTATCTGTATATTTTCCTCAGTTAAATGTCTGTTCATGTATTTTGCTCATTTTCCAATTGTTTGGGTTGTGTGTTTTTTTACTATTGAAGTTTGAAAGTTTACTATTGAAGTTTGCTAATATTTTCTCCTAATGTAAAGCATATATTTACATCTACTTCGCGTGGGCCAACGTTCTAAGTTTTGAGGAAGTCCAAGTTATCAATCTTCCCTTTTATGGATTGTGTTTTGGAGGTCAAGGCTAAGAACTCTTTGCCAAGCCCTAGATTCCAAAGGTGGTTGTGTGTTTTTTCTGAATGTTTCATGGTTCTTACATTTTACATTTATGTGGTGGTCCACTTTGAGTTGATCTTTATATAAAGTGTGAAACTCATAGACAATAACTGCTCTGCATCTACTAAACACCACAGGGAAAAAAAAACTGTTGTCTCCCCTGCTACCCCCACTAGAGGGGACCCTAGACCTTCACCCTTGCAACATGTTGTCTTATTGAGCACCGACTGTATCCCGGAGCCATCGCTCTCCAGGCATTTCAAATCAATGGCAAGGGCCTGGCTTTTAAGGTATCTGCCGTGGACGAGAGAGCTGATCCTAGAATCCGTCAGACACATTAGAATCCAGCTGCATGATATTTGGGCAAACTGCTCACTGTTCTGAGCCTTGTTGGTTTTTTCATTTGTCATAAGACGGCTTTGAGGATTAAATTAGACAAAGAATGTGAAATGGCTTGTGCAGGGGTGCTCAATAAATGATCTCATTCTTCTCCAAACGGATCCCTTGCAGCTGTTGGACATTAGCAATGGGTTGTTGTCAGTGAACAGAAAAGGGCCAGTTGTGTGCAGCCAGGCCTGAGTTGTCTAAGGGCTAATTATCTGGTTTATAGATAAACTAAGAACCGTCTGCTCTTGCTTCCCAGCGTGGTGGCCAGTGCTCTCACCAGTCCCCAGCAGCTATGGTGCCAGGCGAAGAGGGCGGGTGAACATCTTATTCTGATTCAGTAAATATTTCTAGAAGATTGGAAGGCTCCGGAAAGAAATGAGCATGGATAGGAAAAAATTTTCTTTAAACTGATTTTCTTAGTTTTACCAACTTTCTATAAATTGTGTGTGTGTGGGGGGGGGGCAATGAAACATCTATAAAATTAAATTCTGCTATAAAACACATAAAGAAATTCTACCTGTTCTATCTGAAGGAGAAAGTGTCAGGTTACCAGAGTGCAGTTCTTAAAAACATTCATGTTAAATTTTATGATTTTTAAAAAAATTTTATTGTTGCCCTGGCCGGCTTGGCTCAGTGGATGGAGTATCAGCCTGCGGACTGAAGGGTCCCAGGTTCGATTCCAGCCAAAGGCACATGCCTGAGTTGTGGGCTTGATCCCCAGTAGGGGGTGTGCAGGAGGCAGCCGATCAATGATTCTCTCTCATCATTGGTGTTTCTATCTCTCGCTCCCTCTCCCTTCCTCTCTGAAATCAATAAAGAAATATAAAAAATAAAAATAAAAAATTTATTGTTTAAAGTATTACAAATATGTCGTCGTCTCCCGCCCCCTGTTAACCCCCTCCACCCCACTCCTGCCCCCTCCCCAGGCTTTCTCTGCACTAATGTTTGTCCTTGGGCTATGCATATATGCATATAAGTTCTTTGTTTAGTCTCTTCCCACACCCCCTCCCTCCACCTTCTGAAATACATCGGTCTGGTGCATGTTTCAGTGGCTCTGGATCTGATTTGTTCTACAGTTTATTTTGTTCACTAGATTCTTTTGAGCTCCCTTATTGATTAGTGCAGTGGTCGGCAAACTGCGGCTTGGCAAACCGCGGCTCTTTGGCCCCTTGAGTGTGGCTCTTCCACAAAATACCTGCTCTTCCCCAAAATACCAACTTCTGCGCATGGGCCACGAAGTTTCAATCACACTGTACGCGCGCGCCCGCACGTGGTATTTTGTGGAAGAGCCACACTCAAGGGGCCAAAGAGCCGCATGTGGCTCGTGAGCCGCGGTTTGCCGACCACGGGACTAGTGTAACATTGAGAACTCAGCTGTCACCTGTACTTTCACTCTCTCAACACTAACCATTTATTTGCATTTTTTTCACTTACCATCTTCTCTCCCTACTGAGAGAGAAGTATAATTTTATGCTTTCTCGATAGGGGGAAGAGAATGCCTCCTTCCTCCCTTTATTTTTTTAATAATTTTTATTGATTTCAGAGAGGAAGGGAGCGGGGGGGGGGAAGAAAGAGGGGGAAACATCAATGATGAGAGAGAATCATTGATCAGCTGCCTCCTGCACACCCCCCACTGGGGATCGAGCTGGCTACCCAGGCATGTGCCCTGACCAGATCGATGCTCAACCACTGAGCCATGCTGGTCGGGCCTGCCTTTCTTAAGATCCCCCTCTGAGTGACATCTCCAGAACCATGCCTGGGGTTGATCACCTTACATTGGGTCTGCCACACATATCTTATTGTTTTACAATTGGTTTTAAACTAAGTACCACAGGCATTTCTGAAATGGCCAGACACAGAAGAGTCATGTGCAGGGAAAGGCTTAAGTGGAAGGTGGAGTGGGGTCATTTCTAACCTGTTTCTCGGGGAGGGGGGAAACCATCAAGGATCATGCATGCATCTCAGGTCCTTGGTAGCAGCATCCGCATGAGCCTCCCCACAGTTTTCATCCACCCGACCCCTGACCCGGGACCCTCACAGCCTGGAGCTTGGACACATGTCCCAGCCTCTAGAATTCGATCTGTCCTTCATCCATTTACTGTCTGATCCTTTAGCCACAGTAAAGAGAAATAGTTAATTCACATAAAGAAAGCAAACTATTACTTGTGGGTGCACATGTTTTGAAGTTTGATTCTTGCTGGGGTCTAACCCCAGCAGGTCCAGGGGTCCCCAAAGGTGTGGACGGATTCGGCGAAGAAGGAATGACATGGAGACAGCGTTCAGTTGATCAGCAGCCTTGCCAGGATCTCTAGCCACAATCTCCAGCCAAGTTCTGTGTCCATGGTCTCTTGCTAGGTTCTCCAGCCACGTTCTCCAGGTTCTCCAGCCAGGTTCTGTAGCCATGTTCTCTCGCTAGGTTCTCCAGCCAGGTTCGGTTATCAATCTCTATTCCAAAGGTTAGGTTGTTTCTTATCTCCATTCCAGGGAGTAAAGATTATGTAGCTTAAGCATGATTGTTTGTAGTTAAAGTGATTAATTACCCGCCTGGCACTTAGTTAAGAGGTTTTATTCCCTTCCTAACTTCAGGGAAAAATCCCTACCTGGGGAAACAACCTTTCTCGGAGAGGTGACCTTGGTTAAAACACGTAGTGCCAAGAAGGTGAGCAAACATATTAAGAACAGTATGCCATATATGCCAGGTCCCTTGAAACAGCAAGGATGGACCGGCTCCCGGCAGAACCTGGCATTGTTTTTTTGTTTGTTTTTAATGTTGTTTTTTTAATTTCAGAGAGAGGAAGGAAGAGGGAGAGAAAGATAGAAACATTAGTGACGAGAGAGAATCATTGATCAGTGCCTCCTGCACACCCTACACTGGGGAGCAGGCCCGCAACCCCGGGCATGTGCCTTGACTGGGAATCGAACTGTGACCTCCTAGTTCATAGGTCAACGCTCAACCATTGACCCACCCCAGCCGGGCCCTGGCATTGTTTTTAATGCTTACCCTGTTAAAATGAACACAGATCTTTTGACTAAGAGACGAAGCCTGTGTTGATATAAAACCTGCAAATTACCTAAGTTTGGGAAAGTCAGTATTTTAATTGCTGTTGACATTTGATACCCCACGAGAAGCACGGCTCCTGGGGTTTCCTGCTAACACGTGATGAGAATGGGGGTTGCTCCTCATAAGACTGATATTATACTAAATACACCCTCTGATAAATCCACCCAAGAATAATATGGATTGAGAACCCTACTGTTTGGCTGTCCTAATCTCTCCCATGGTAAAAACAACTGGATTTGCGTATTTTGTGGCGCGTTTTCTTTCATTTCCTTTTGCGTTGTTGGCCACACCCGATGAACTAAATGATAACTCTTTGCTGCTATGTTTTCACCATGTTACATGCTCACTCTTAACTTCTTTTTCCATTTTTTCTATCCCAGCATCCCCCCTCTCAGAGGAACAGTTCACCTCGACAGCCGGGGAGAGAGCCCGGATGCACAAGGTAAGGTTTCGATGTCAATCATGTTGTATGACTTACAGATTAAATTATTTGCAGATTAAATTGGAGTATTATGAATACCTTTGTCATAAATTTATCCTCAAAATGGCATGATACAACTAATGCAAATATTTGAGCAAACATGCTTTGTTAAAACGTTATTTCTCAAACTATATTCCACATCCCACGGGTACAAGGGCTAATTAACTGCTATGAGGAATTCCTCTAAAAGTGGGCAAGCCAGTTAAGGCTTACTTTTAGAGATCTAATGAAGGATACGTGGAGGAAGAGAATTACAAGATACAGTCAATGACCTCATGACATTTCTAATGGTAAGGGATTGTTTGATCTTGTGAAAAACCAAGGCAACTGCTCTGTTGACTTGACGAGAGAGAGAGAGAGAGAGAGAGAGAGAGAGAGAGAGAGAGACAGAGAGAGACAGAGACAGACAGACACGGGTGTCTTGGAAAGGAGATGAAGCCCTGGGGTGCCTCATTGTCCAGTTTGGGATTTGTGTTTGAGATGAGATGCAATCATCTGACCTTCAGTTACTCAGTCCTGGTACGGAGTATCCAGGCTCACTTCAGGGCTCCCCAGAACAAAGGAACAATTAACCAAAATGCCACCAGGTGGCAATAGTTGGAAAGCCATCCAGAGAGGTTTCCACGCAATGAGCCATTATTGTCCCGAGAACAGCCTCCTCACGCAGCCTAGCGTCCTAGATTTCCTCAAAGGGGCTCCAAACATCTCTTGTTTTACTGCTTTTTTGCCCGAAGCAGCAGGAACATTTTTTAGTACAGGGAATAAAGGAGTGTGGGGTGTATGTGTTGCTTTCTTTCTGGGATGATAAAACTAGAACTCCATTCTTAGATAATTCTCCAAACTGTATTTGGTGAGCATTAAGAGCTCAAATCCATGGATGACGTCCCCTGTTTGCCTTGCAGTTCCTTTGTGATAAACATTATGGCTGATGATCGTTTTAAAATAAAGTAATTTAGAAGAGAAACCTAAAATTCTTCTCCAACAGAAGCCTAGACTTGTAAGGAGTTGCCTTGACATTGAACCAAGTGAAACATACAGGTACAAAATTATATTAAATGAAAATAATTAATTTATTTAAATAGGGTGAGTGAACTTTTCCCCTTTGGCTCTCATCAACGTTTCCCCTGGGTGGTGTCCAAACAGCTGGATCTTCTGGGCCCAGCGCTGGCCCGAGGGCTGAGTTGGGGCGGAGGGAAGTGGAAATCCCGGCCTCTGTGGGGGAAGCTGACAGGTGCCTGGTAGCATGGACACGCACAGGGTGGGAGGCGTGAGCCTGCGGTGGTGCTGGGCCCGCGTACCCGAGCTGAAGAAAACTTGACAGAGCCCCTCTTTGTGGAAATATGAAACTTGATCATGAGGACAATGCATTTATTTTAAAGTAGGATGATGCTTTCTTTTCTGAACGTTGTAGGGGTCAGAGCTGTTGACTGGTTTATAATGAGTTTGTTATTAGTACAGGGTTGTACAGTGATGGCGAACCTATGACACGCGTGTCAGAGGTGACACGTGAACTCATTTTTTTGGTTGATTTTTCTTTGTTAAATGGCATTTAAATATATAAAATAAATATTTAAATGGGGGGGATGAGGACACATTTGTAATACCTTAACTAATAAAGAATTTTAAAAATGATACATCTATAAAAAATAAAATAAAATAAATATCAAAAATATACACCTTTGTTTTACTATGGTTGCATATATCAAAAAAATTTCTATATGTGACATGGCACCAGAATTAAGTTAGGGTTTTCAAAATGCTGGCACCCCAAGCTCAAAAGGTTCGCCATCACTGTACTAGTAACTAAGTCACGAGCGCCCCCTATGGACAGAATAGATTATGAGAGACCGGCCTTCATTCACAATTGACTGATAATGAGAAGTAGAGGAGTGTGAGTAATTGGGTGTCCCATCCCTCATCCACAGACGTGTACTGCTTGGGTACTTGTGGCATCGACTTGAGTCAACTGCTTTTTGCATTCAGAAATAAAACTGCCGACTGCTTAGCAAACCTTTAGTACACGGCACTCTACCGGAGATTTCTGCCTTTCACAGAGAGTTCTAGAATCTGGTTAAGTGCCGGCATTATGGCCAGCAGAAAAGGGTGACATGTCTTATCAACGTGTTCTTTCCGAGGGGGCTGAGGAATGTGGAAAGAATGCTATTGAGGTCCCTCAGGCTGGTGCCTGGAATGCTTGTATCCCTAACCAAGAAACGGTTTTCTTCTGCCCCCTTCACTGCGTTGAGTTTTCTGGTCTGAGAGTCTTTACAAAGAAGAGAATTAATACACAAAGATGTTGGGCGCTAACCCTCTGACATTCTCGTTCCCGCGGCTGGCCCCGGAGCAGTTCCTAAATGCCTCGGTTGATGAAAATGCCCTGCGCCTGTGCCATCAGATTTGGTAGCCACTCGCCACATGTGCACATGGAGTATCTGGAATGTGTGTATGTGGTTGAAGAACATTTTAGATGCATTTCCAGTTGTATTTCATTTTAATTTAACGTGAATAGCCACACGTGACCACTGGCTGCTGTATTGGACAACCAGCTCCAGAAGCCAGATTAGCGAGAACTGAAGTTTTCAGTTCATCTGACAAACAGAGCCTCCCCGGGGAGCTCGCTCTGGTCTGCGATGTGTGGACGAGTCTGGCCTGGCCTCATGCTGCGTCGTCGGTTATGACCCAGGGATCCTGGTCCCTGGGGGGGTAGTTATGGGGTGGGGGGGAGCAAGATCTGAGAACAGCCTACAGTGAGGCGGGTTCGTGTCCAGTTCTCCATGAACTGTCTCTCCAATGTGAGCACAGGGCCCTGTGTGCAAATGGGGAAATGGGAGAGAGAACGCACTTTATTTAATGCCTGCTGGGTCCAAGCACTCAGCTACAACTCCAGCATTATCTCAATCTTCACACACCCTATGCTTTTCATAGGTGAGGAAGTTGAGTTTCAGAGAGATTACTCGTGTGTTCAAGGCTCATACCTAGCAAGTGGTAGAGGCGAGATTAGACCCCAAGCAGGTGTGAATCTAAAGTTATTTCCACAAGCAGGACTCACACCCGGATACACGTTTGGAACTTCCTGTGAAGCAGAAAGCCTTGGGGGGTGGGGGGGAGGTTATGGGAGCAAATGACGTGTGTGTGTGTGTGTGTGTGTGTGTGTGTGTGTGTGTGTGGAAGAGAGAGAGAGAGAGACTAATCCTGATTACCTCAGAAGTTGAACCTGTATTCCTCCTCTCCTCCCCTTTCCCTCCTGCCCTCACTCCCCTCAGACCACCCCGGCCATGTTGACCCTAGGTGACCCCTTTGTGGAAATACAACTGTTAGTGTCATAGAAGACGGACAATGGCTCATTTGGATTAAAGTCACTCAAGAAACAAAGACATATTTCAACGTCTTAGTTACCATTGAGGTAAAAGCCTCCAGCCACTTGGTACTGATCTATACTTACGTTTTATGAGAAATAGATTAGATTATTTACAATTATTGAAGTGACTTATCTCCCAGCGTCCAGCTGCTGTCTGCATTCCTTCTCAAATATCTCTCGTGTATATTTTCTTCTACTTCTGTAGTATTTCCAAAATTTCCATTATTGAAAATAAGAGTGGAAATCATAAAAAGCAAATCGCTATAATCCTGCCTATAATCCTACCCTAACAAATCATTTGTTCTAGTTTTTCCCTTCTAGTCCTTCACACCGTTTTGCATATCGTAACGATACCTTGTGCATACCTCTGCGTGCTGCTCTTTAACCTTGTCGAGCAGTCTTCCATGTGGCCTCGCTGTTCATGAGTGTAGTGTTAAAGTCTGTAGAATAGCCTACGGAGGTGACATATCATTATTATTCCAACCTGCCATTATTGGACGCATAGAATCGCCTTCAGAGTTCATCTGGTAGACTTTAAACTAATCGTTCATGACGGGTTAAACAATACCCCCGGCTGGCAGCCTCACACCTGTGTTCCCACATCTCCTGTGAAGGCAGCTGTTGTATTCTGAAACTCCTGATTGGATATTACCTTAGATCTATTTTTTTTCACATATATAATGTTTAACTTCCAAAACATAATATTCCCAAGAGCGATGCTTGTGATGCATTCCACTTTCACCGTCTCCCTCCCCCACACCTGAGACGCCCAGCACAGGTTCCCCGCGGGGTCTGTGAAAGTCTACAAAGCTGGCGTGGCGTCGGGTTGCCCGGCGACTGGTACCGCGTGGGGGACAGATTTCCAGCATCCCACACCTCACATGGCATCCTGCCCCAAATGCACGCACTGGCGTGTTTGTCTCTGTCCTCAAGTTGGTCATGTTCAGGCTTCCAGAGAGCAGTGCAAAGGAATCACAGATGATCAGGTTAACAACAAACTACATTAAGAAACATGGACGGTAAAGGTCACGTAAAACCTCAGATGCCCCAGAGACTGAGCTCTGAGCCGTGCGGGTTTTGTGTTTCCCAATACTTGGGACCCCCACTTTGGAGAGTGGCCACAGGCCCTCCCGGCCCCGTGGCATTCCCAGTGCGGATGTGTTTCGGCCTTTCAAGGCCATGGCGGGCACTGTCATATCGCTCTGGAGGGCGTCTCTCATGAGAGTCCTGCTTCTCACTTTATTTTTGCTCCCGGGGAGTGGCATGTTGCAGACCGGCGTGAGGTAATGCCACTCATGCAGCAGAACCTTGGCTTATGAGCTGGACTGAGCCATTAGGACCCTTCTCCGGTGCCTGGCTTAGGGAACTGTGCTTAGTTTGTCAAAAAATATGAATTGAGAGCTTGGCACATTGTGTAATGGCAGGGTGGTCTCCAGCCAGGAATAACAATTCTAGATGGGCCAGCCGCTCTGCCCTCTGCTTAAGAAAACATGGCCCAATCATGGCCTAACCCCGCACACTCTTTTTTGAAAGCTGCATCTTATTAACAACCTTGATTTTTTTTTTCATTGTAGCACTCAATTCTTAATGTGCATTTTCTATA